TAGTCTTTACATGTAGGAGGGTTGGCTAAACATCTACGCAGTTTACAGAATTGGAAAAGAAATGAACATATGTGTTGTCGAAGGCTTTCATGGCTGGAATCACTGAGTTGCTGTGAGTTTTTCGGGCTGTATGGCCATGTTCCAGGAGCAGTCTCTCATGACGTTTCATCCACATCTATGGCAGACATCCTCAGAGGTTGTGAGGTCTGTTGGAAACTAGGCATGTGAGGTTTATATATCTGTTGTGTGTCCAGGGTGTGAGAAAGAACTTTTTGAGGCAAGTGTGAATGTTGCAATTGGCCACCTTGATTAGCATTGAATGGCCTTGCAGTTTCAAAGCTTGGCTGGGGATCCTTTATTGGGAGGTATTAGCTGGCCCAGATTAATTCTTGTTTGGAATTCACCTGTTTTTTGTGTGTTACTCTTTATTTACTGTCCTGATTTTAGATTTTTTTAATACTGGTAGCCAGATTTTGTTCATTTTCATTGTTTCTCCTAGTAGAGCGATCTAGATACAGCTTATTATTTGAGAACACAGAAATGCTGGACCACTCTAATAACTACCATGTCAGACTACACAGAGAAGCCACTGAAATCCACAAGCAAATGGACAATTTCAATAGAAAGGGGGAAACCATGAAAGCGAACAAGATCTGGCTAACAGTATTAAAAAAACTCTAAAATCAGAAAAGTCAACCAATACTGTGCAACTTTTCTCCAGGATTCTTGATCAAACAGGACAGTAGAGGATGTCCTATTTCGTTCACATGTCCTATTTCATTCCCAGCTAGCATCACACTACATTTTAATAACTCCCCCAACATCCATAGGGTTATCTACAGACCTTGGCTTTAGGCAACATCTTCCCTCTTGTCTTTGTCCTCAATTATTATCATTAATACTAAACTTGCCACCATATGCACCTGATGAAGTAAACTCAGGGCCCTTCCAGACAGGCCCTATATCCCAAGATCTGATCCCAAGTGGTCTGCTTTAAATTGGATTATATGAGTCTGCAGTGTCAGATAATCTGGTATAAACAGAAAACCTTGGATCAGATTCTGGAATATAGGGTTTGTCTCAAAGGCCCTTAGTTTATGAAAACTTATTGCTACCAACTGTGTTCTTTCAAGGTGTGACAAGATTCTTTTCCTCCTAGTTGCTGCTTTTCTTCTCACCCGTTCTCTCAAAGCTGATGAGGACTGTGAAAGATGCAAAGAGACTGACCTTTGAGTAGTAGTAAGACGCACCATGTAAATGCGAAGCAGCAGGAGAAGGAGGAAATCAAGAGGAGAAGGCGGAGATATCCAAAGCAGGGCCAACAATGGAAGTGGGAAAGTAAGTATAAAATCCTCAGCCAGAGAGTTCTAGGGTGGTTCTAGACAGCACTAAATCATACGATTTAGTCAGGGGCAAGACACCCCCAGGATCTGAGAAGTTGTCCAGAGACAGACCTGTTGGTCCCAAGAATTCTGCCTCTGTTGTCTACACTTGCTGCTTTGTCGTGGGATTTTGCAGCCCCCCAAGATGAACATTGCAGGACTTCCACCAGAAATTTTGGCAGTTTTTTTAAAAACTTAACATGTCAACATGCGAAGGTGTGAAACATTGTGTAAGTTATGTTATTGGGCTATAAGCTGCAGGGCCATCTGTGCAGACAGGATGTTGTTCGTGGGTTATATATGTCTGACTGTCCCGGATTGCTCTTATTGTGAAATGATGTACAAGGTTGACTAGGAGGCCACAACTTTGTCCTGGCCAAAGAAAATGTGCCCTCCATATGTTTCATGAAGTTTTTGGCACATAAACAAAGGTTTCACATTCTACTCAAGTGTCACCTTCCTTTTAGGGACCAACCAATCAGGAACAAACACCTAAAATCTGGGAAGAAACCCAGATAAAAAATCCTGTGTTTTCCAAGTGCAGGGGCATACGGATGTGGATTTTTGGCTCTGAACTGGGATATTCTTGTATCTGAAAATCTTGTGGGTTTTGCCATTTGTAGCGCTTTCTCCTGCATTTTGAGAGGCAGGAGCTTCTTGGATAAAGGTGCTGTCTGGATGGGCCCTTAGTGCTGTCCTGAACTACAAATTCTAGGTTTCTATAGGATGTAGACAAGGCAATAACTGTGTAGTGTAGGCTTCGGGTAGGACACATGCTATAACTGTGTGGTGTAGGCTTCGGGTAGGACACAACCTGTTACCTTTTAGTTGGAGAATACTATCATACTATCTGTGTTAATGTGACATTTAGGGAACAAAATTGTATACAGTTGGTTCTCCATAATCATAGATTTTACATCCATGTATTCCACCATCCACAACTCAAATATATATATATATTTAAATTGAAAAATCAGATCTTTTTATATAGAGGGCACCATTTTACTACATCATGCAAATAATGGGACTTGAATATCCATGGATATAGATATCCACATGTATTTGAAAAGCAAACTCCAGCAGATGCCAAGGGTACACTGTATTTCTCAGACCTCTTCAAATCTGGAAGACCTACTTTTGAGCACCCTGACTCATCATCATGAGTCATCTGTTAGGTAAGGCTCAAGATCAGTCCTGTCATTAGGTGTAGTGAATGTTGGTTACTTAATCTGTGGAGTTTGACTACCAGACTGGTGGAGGCTTCTGGGAGTTGAGGTACACAACCGTTGCAGAAACAGAACTTTGAGAACACCAGCTCTAAGCCCTACACAGTGCTGGCACACCTGCCACTCCAGGAACTTCTTTTTTATGTGGTACTGCTGGCTGTATGCACTCATATCAGCCTTTGCCAATGTCTTGGACTACAAAGCCCATGGATTTAAGTATGTTTTGGGGGGTGGGTGGAGTCTTGGGATCAAACTCCCATGGATACCAAGAGCCCACATCACAGTGACAAATAATGTTGAACTCCTAACACTCCCTATACTGAGGAGCAGAATGCCTAATGCTCCTTATACTGGGGGGGATGAACTGGTAACACTCCCTATACTGGGAAGCTGAATGCTTCATGTTCCTTTGTATTGGGAAACTGAACTCCTAATGCTCCCTGTCTGGAGAAGCTGAATGTCTAATGCTTCTTATACTGGGGAGCTGAAGCCCTAAAGCTCTCTATAGGGGAGAGTTGAACCTCTAAAGCTCCTTATACTGGAAAGCTGAACTCTTAACAGTCTCTTACTAGAGAGCTAAACTCCCCATGCTCCCTATCCTGGGGAGCTGAACTGGTAACACTCCCTATACTGGCAAGCCGAATACCTAATGCTCAGTATACTGGGAAGCTGAACTCTTAACAGTATCATACTGAGGAGCTAAACTCCTAATACTGGGAAGCTAAACCAGTACTGGGGAGCAGAAGTCCTAAAGCTCAATATATTGAGTACCTGGACACCTAATGCTCCCTATAGTGGGGTGTTAAGTTCTTAACACTTCCTATACTGGGGAGCAGAATGTTTAATGCTCCTTTTTATCAGGAAACTGAATTTGTAATGCTCTCTTTAAGGAGAACCTGAATGCCTAATGCTCCCTGTACTGGGAAGCTGAATACCCAATGCTCTGTATACTGGGGAGCTGAACTCTTAACAGTCTCATACTGGGGAGCTAAACCCCTAAACTCCTAATACTGGGAAGCTCAACCTGAACTGGGGAGATGAAGTCCTAAAGCTCCATATATTGAGTCCCTGGAGGACACCGAATGCTCCCTATCCTCTCTTGGTATCCCTACGGATGTCCCGGTCCTCAATTTTTCCGAATGAAACAGAGAGTGTTTGAGGACCGGGACATCTGTAGGGATACCAAGGTGCTTGTCTATAAAGCTATTGTCCTCCCAACCCTGCTATATGCCTGCGAAACGTGGACTGTGTACAGGCGTCACATGCAACTCCTGGAACGATTCCATCAGCGCTGCCTCCGGAAAATCCTGCAAATCTCTTGGGAAGACAGGCGGACAAACGTCAGCGTGTTGGAAGAAGCAAAGACCACCAGCATTGAAGCAATGGTCCTCCGCCATCAACTCCGCTGGACCGGCCATTGTCCGGATGCCCGACCACCGTCTCCCAAAGCAGTTGCTCTACTCCGAACTCAAGAATGGAAAACGGAATGTTGGTGGACAGGAAAAGAGATTTAAAGATGGGCTCAAAGCCAACCTTAAAAACTCTGGCATAGACACTGAGAACTGGGAAGCCCTGGCCCTTGAGCGCTCCAGCTGGAAGTCAGCTGTAACCAGCAGTGCTGCAGAATTTGAAGAGGCACGAATGGAGGGTGAAAGAGAGAAACGTGCCAAGAGGAAGGCGTCAAGCCAACCCCAACCAAGACCGCCTCCCACCTGGAAACCAATGCCCTCACTGTGGGAGAAGATGCAGGTCAAGAATAGGGCTCCACAGCCACCTACGAACCCACCCCCAGGACACCGAACTTGGAGGACCATCATCCTTGGACTATGAGGGATCGCCTAAGTGAAAAAAGTGAAATGCTCCCTATAGTGGGGAGTTTATTTATTTATTCACAGTATTTATATACCGCTTTTCTCATCCCTGGTCTACGCAGAAATAGTGGCAAAATTCAATGCCTTACAAACATCGGTTCTAACACTCCCTATGCTGGGGAGCAGAATGCTTCATATGTTCCTAATGCCCCCTGAATGTCTTATGCTCCTTATCCTGGGGAGATGAACCCCTAAAGCTCTCCATAGGGGAGAGTTGAACCTCTAAAGCTCCCTATACTGGGGAGCTGAACTCTACACAGCCTCATACTGGGGAGCTGAACTCCCAATGTTCCCTTTGAGCGGAGTCTTTCCCTGTAAGGGGGAGCTGAAGCCCTATCGCTCCCTCTCCTGGGGAGTTCAGCTCCTCAGGCTCTGGGCTGCTCCTGCGAGGCTGCAGGGGGAGGACCGAGGCGAGGGGGTGCTGATGCCCAGGCTCTTGGCCCCGTTCCCCACTGTCCCTGGATCGCAGGAGTCTCGCCTCCCTCGCCGTGGAAGGGGGGGAGAGAGAGAGAGAAGAGAGGGAGGAAAAGAGAAGCGTCGGAGGAGGAGAGCACAGCAGAGAGGGAGAGAGGACCATCCGGGCTGCCTCCTCTCCTTCTCGGGGAGCCTTTCCTGGAAGAGGCGCGCCGCGCGGGTGTCAGTGGCGATAAGGCGGCCCTTATCTGGTCGGCGCAGGAGTGGCATCGCGGACAGGAGGAGGTCCCTCCCCATCTCAGTCCGGAGAGAAAGAGAGGCGAGACCTCCAGGGCGCTCGCCCCGCTTCATTCCGCCAGGTGTGCCTTCGGAGGAGATGTAGGAAAGGTAGGTGGGCAGGAGAGGGAGGGAAGCGGGGGCAGAAGGGGCACCAGGGCGCCGAGAGTGGAAGGAGGTGAGCCTTCAGAGCAGCCATGGGCAGCGGGAGGCTGCGAGGAAATGTGGGAGTCCAAGTCCAAAACACCCGGAGGGCCAAAGTTTGCCCATGCCTGCTTTAAAGGCTCGCCTCCTTCCACTCTCAGCGCCCTGGTGCCCCCTTCTGCCTTTGAACAGCCTCACTAAACTACAAACGCCAGAATTCTCCAGGAGGCAGAAACCGGATTTAAAGTGGATTCATTCTCAACCTGGGGTCCCCAGATGTTTTTGCCTACAACTCCCAGAAATCCCAGCCAGTTTACCAGCTGTTAGGATTTCTGGGAGTTGGAGGCCAAAAACATCTGGGGACCCCAGGTGGAGAACCACTGCTCTAGTGTGATGAAGGAGATAGTCTATCTAATCCAGTGGTTCTCAACCTGTGGTTCGCCAGGTGTTTTGGCCCACAGCTCTCAGAAATCCCAGCCAGTTTACCATCCGTTAGGATTTCTGGAAGTTGAAGGCCAAAACATTTGGGGACCCACAGGTTGAGAGCCACTTACCTAATCCCTGCCGGAGAGGGTCCTCCACCTGAGAAAGAGCTCCTTGGGTCACCTGTATGGAGAAGGATAGGCAGCGGCAGGGATGTGTTTCATACACGAGAGGCCTCGCGAAACCTCTATGTGGCAGTGGTTCTCAATCTGTTGATCTCCAGATGTTTTGGCCTTCAACTCCCAGAAGTACTAACAGCTGGGATTTCTGGGACTTGTAGGTCAAAAGACCCACAGGTTGAGAACCACCACTCTATGGCATTTCTTCGTAAAGTCAGAGCTGGAAGTTACCGGGGGTACGTCTGCACTTCAGGATTAATACAGTTTGACACCACTTTCACTGCCACGGTTCCTGGGAATTGTAGTTTGGTGAGGCCTCAGTACTCTCTGGTAATGACGACTAAAGATCTTGTATTGTCTGAAGGCTTTCATGGCCGGAATCACTGGGTTGTTGTGAGTTTTCCGGGCTGTCTGGCGATGTTCCAGAAGCATTCTCTCCTGACGTTTTGCCCGCCTCTATGAGGATGCAACCTCTGGGGATGCCTGCCATAGATGCAGGCGAAACGTCAGGAGAGAATGCTTCTGGAACATGGCCAGATAGCCCGGAAAACTCACAACAACCCACTTAAAGACCTTCTCAAACTACAGCTCCCACGATTCCATAGCACTGAGCCCTGGCAGATCGATTCATCATACTAGTGGGGCTGTTAAAGCCTCCTCCCTAAACTACCAACCCCAGAATTCTGCAGGTGGCAGAAACCGGATTTTAAGTAGATTTTTTTCCTCTAGTGTGACGAGGCTGCAAGTGGTGGCCAAGCACATTCATTCTCCACAGCATAGGAGCATCCAGAGTCAGGGCCAGGGAGTCCAACTCGGATCAATCCCCTGCAGAGAGCATGGGACTTTTTGCTGAAAGACGGGACTTTCCAGGGCGTTGTAGTGGAAGAACCCAGTGTCACTCCGAAGTCTACGCCTGACCAAAGGGAAAACAGTGCCCCTCCCCACCCCCACCCCCTTTTATAAGGGCTGTAGACCGAAGTCAGCTTCGCTAAAGAGGCAACCCTGCTCGCCACCAAAGCAATAGGTTCCTCTCTTGAGGCAATCTGCCCAGCATCTCCCTTCCTTCCCTCATCCCCCCTCCCTCCTCAGGTGAGCTACTTCCGGGCTAGCCGAGGAATGTCCCGGTTCCGGGAAATCATAACTGCGGTTATTGTAATTATTATTATCCCTGTGCTTAAAATATGCAGAGCGGGCGCATACACAAAGGTCTGGCTAGGTAATTATGCCTCATAGAGTGCAATATACCAATAAGCTCCAAGATGCACTGCATGGGAATGGAATGCAGGAGCCATACAAAGGTTTCTTCTGCTTGGTGGCTGACTGTTGTTTGGGGCCATGTCCAGGTCCCACCCTGGCATAGGCTAATACAAAGTGTGTGCAGCCAACAGGTCCACATAAACCAGGTGACAGAGGAAGCTCTTAGAAAGACAGGTGTGTGGCGTCAGTCTGGGGTAGTGTATAGATCAAACTTGGGCCCTCCGGGTGTTTAGGACTTCAACTCCCACAATTCCTAACAGCCTCAGGCCCCTTCTTTTCCCCTCCTCAGCCACTTAAGCAGAATTGTGGGAGTTGAAGTCCAAAACACCTGGAGGGCCCAAGTTTACCCATGCCTGGCATAGATAGAACTGGGGTTCTTAACCTTTGATTCTTCAATGACTATGTACTTCCGCTCCCAGAAGCTTCCAGCATGATAGTAAAGAGCTGCCAATTAAATAATGAACCATTGCTGTGACTTAACTGTGCAACAGTAGGGGACTCAAAAGATACCAGAACATGTAATAAAGTTGTGTGTTTTGGAATTTGAGAGGGGGGGGGGGGTATTTTCAAACTGTGGATGGTGGAATTGGTGGATGCAGAAACTGTGCTTATTCTACTGATCTATAGGGAATGTTTTCTATGTATGACACATGTCTCCCAGAGTTTCACGCAGAAGCAATGGACCTAGCAGTGTGTTATCATATGCAGTCTTTCGGGTGTTGCTAAGACATCCTAAGTAAGCCCAGAGCTTGGCAATATTAGCTTTAGAGCAGTGGTTCCCAATGTTTTTTTGACCAGGGACCACTTGACCAGGGACCACTTTGATGAGGGACTACTTGACCAGGGATCACTTTGACCAGGAATCCATTGACCAGGGACTACTTTAATAAGGGGCCACTTGGCCAGGAACCACTTGACYAGGGACCACTTTGACCAGGGACCACTTTGACCAGGGACCACTTTGACCAGGGACCACTTGACCAGGGACCACTTTGACCAGGAATCCATTGACCAGGGACTACTTTAATAAGGGGCCACTTGACGAGGGACCACTTTGACCAGGGACCACTTTGACCAGGGAACACTTCAATCAGGGACCACTTTGATCATTGACCACTTGACCAGGGACCACTTTGACCAGGGACCACTTGACCAGGGACCACTTTGACCAGGGACCACTTTGACCAGGGACCACTTTGACCAAGGACCACTTGACCAGGGACCACTTCAATCAGGGACCACTTTGATCATTGACCACTTGACCAGGGACCACYTTGACCAAGGACCACTTTGACCAAGGACCACTTGACCAGGGATCACTTCAATCAGGGACCACTTTGATKARTGACCAGGGACCACTTTGACCAGGGACCACTTGACCAGGGACCACTTTGACCAGGGACCACTTTGATCATTGACCACTTGACCAGGGACCACGTTCACCAGGAACCACTTGACCAGGGACCACTTTCACCAGGGACCACTTGAACAGGGATCATTTTCCAATGTTAGTACTAACAGGGTTATGAATCAGCTTTTGGTCAACTTTAGATTTGATTTGATTATTTGGGATGCTGATTCGGAAAATTGCATGGATAGACCACATCAGCTCTAATTTCTGATACAGAACATATGCCATCCAGTAGTCGCCATCTGCTCTCCCAGAGAAAACCATATTTAATAATCTAGAGTCATGGACCCTATTTTAGGTCTCAGAGGTTGAGAACCACTGCTTTAGAGAATATAACTTCCAGAAACCCCCAGTTAGCATGCCCAAAGCAACCTTGCTGGATAAACTAGTTCGGGTATGCTGAGGGAGAGGAAGGGAATCCCTCCCTCCCCACCCCCTGCAGCACACTTTTTCACCTACATTTTCCATAATCCAATAGTATTTTTAACCCAGTTTGGTACATTGGCATAAGATGTTTCTCAGAGCATCAGTCATTTCAACCCCTGAGCAGGACTTCCCCTTCATAGCCTAATATATTTAACATGTTGAGCCTCACATTTTTCTAGGAGTCATAAGCCTTCTTTTTAATGCTAGACCTGGGCTTCCTCGGTGACAGGGTCATTTCTTTTCATGGGCAAAAGGAAGCAATATACTCTATTGACAAATATTAAGGCAACAGTGGCAATTTCAGTTGTACTCTGAAATCCTTGGCCATATTCCTAATTTGGAAGATATGTGCTGCATGATTTATCCTGCACCCAGTAAAATAGCCAGTTGCCTTCAGGTCTTTAGCTGCAAAATATTGTCATGCTGCGAGTGCTGATATGAAATTCAGATGCCAAAACTGTGTATCTCTTCACTCATAGCATTGTAACACATTGTTATTGAGGAGCTGAACTTCCCACTGTTAGATACTGTCAAAATTGCAGCGATCTCAAGGATGAGGGTGGAAGATTATGTCCCTGATTCTGCCATTCAAATAGTCCCTGTGCTTGGATCCTTTGTGCCTTGGCTCAGCTACAACACCAGGAATTCTAAAGGCCTTTTGTAGTTATTGTTAGGCATTTAGGATTTTTTTCTGTTCTACTGTAAATCATTGCAATTTTTGGCAAGTAGATCTTGATTTATTTTTGTCCTTATGTGATGTAATTTTTCTCAGCCACAAACCTTTGCCTTGTAGAGAGGTTCAGTTATATCTGTGTTACATTCTGTTTTGTTATCTTCCAAGGGCTACATAATGGTTTGTGTTTTATATGCTTTTAAATGCTGTTTGAGGTTTTGGGTCATCTCCCAGTTACATTTTGTTGTAGTTTTTTCCCAACATAAAATCACATTAAATAGTACTTTTGATAAGCCTGCTCTCTGTAATAATTGAATTGATCATACAACAAGACAAGCGCTATGTGAAGCAGAAATTTTGCAAGAACCTGGCAGTGAGCCAGATTTTAGCTAATTATCTAGAGAAATTTCTTGATGCTAAGAATTGTCTTCCAGTGGAACAGAGTGCTCTGGGAAGGAGAAGGGTTTCCTATGCCACAGATATTTAAACAAATGCTGAATGTCCAACTATTAGGGATGCTCTCATTCCAAAACTCTGCCTTGTAGATCTTTCAGTTGGATTAGATCAGGGCTTCTTAAACTTTTCCCACTTATGACCC